GTAGTTGTTTTTGATGGTGATCTTATTTAAATACATGTAATCAATAAAGGAATGCGAGTTCCGCTTTCTTCTCAACAAAGAAGAACCCTACCCCAGCTGGAGAAGTTGATTTGTGAATATTTCATCATCTTCCCAGTAGATTATGGGATTGTGCTTGGTGGCCACAGAGGCTACTCCAGCACAGATGTGAAGAAGGAGTCGATTTTTTTAAAGGACAACACACAGGCACCTAAGGCCCATTCTCCAGAATGGAGAAGTCGCATGCAATTGTCCCTCCTTCCAACATTAGTGTAATACTAGTAGGAAAGTTAATTGGAACTCAACTGCTGGTGAATGAAGAGATTAGATACTGTCACTTTAAGAAAATAACATTTATTGAAATTAAGCAATTTTGCTTCTAAAATGATCATGCACGAACAAAGATAACTTGCAGGTAACTGTGTCTATCTGAATAACGTTTTGGCAAAATTGAATTAAATAAGGAAACTCCTTAATTAGCAACATATAATAAAGTTCTTTAACTTCAGCAATAATAACACAAGCTAATTCTTCTTAGCAACTGAAACAGAGTCATTTAGGTTCTGGCAGAAGTAATTAAAGGGACACTATAGTCACCTGAACAACTTCAGCTTAATCAGGTTGTTCAGGTGAGAACTATAGCTCCCTGCAGCCTTTCTCAAGTAAACACTGTATTTTCTGAGAAAATACAGTGTTTACATTGAAAGCTAGGAACACCTCCAGTTGAAGTCACTCAGAATGCCACCAGAGGGGCTTGTGAGTTGACTGAGGCATAAAACTCCTCAATCCACTCAGATCTGCTGTCATCATAGCACAGGGCAGCATGGAGACACTCCCACTGCATGCAGACACTGAGTTTTCTTCATAGAGATTCATTGATTCAATTCATCTCTATGCGGAGATGCTGATTGGCCAGGGCTGTGTTTGAATCATGCTGGCTCTGCCCCTGATTTGCCTCTTTGTTAGTCTCAGCCAATCCTATGGGGAAGCATTGTGATTGGATCAGGCTACCACTTCTGATGACGTCAGCAGACTTTTTTTTTTTTTTAGGCAAACAGCATGCAGAGTTACAGCTTCTGGCTTGAATACAGTAAGATTTTTACTATATTTATGGAGGCATGAGGGGCCCAGGTGGGCTAGATGGTGGTGTTAACACTATAGGGTCAGGAATACATGTTTGTGTTCCTGACCCTATAGTGCTCCTTTAATGAATAGGTCTCGTTAGGAGATGAGTAGCTGAATCCCAGAGGGCAGACAATTAGATTCCTTCTTATCCTTCCCAAATACTTCAGGTGTGAACCTATTAATAATCCCAAGAACTGGAAAACTTATTTTGCTTACTGTGAATGATGTGCATTGAAGTCCTTTCCAGGATTGATGAGGGTTATGGTTCCATGAAGTACGTAGAGGAAAAGTGGTGATGTCTGTTCCGAAGTCTGGGAGTGGAGAGGTCAGTGTTGTCAGGAGTAAGCCAGAGGGTTCGGTACACAAAGAAGACAATGTTGTCAGGAGCAAGCCAGAGGGTTCGGTACACAGAGAAGACAGCGTTGTCAGGATTAAGCCAAAAGGTTCAGTACATGGAGAAACTGGAAGTAAAGCTCAGGCGGCAATCTGCAACGAAGTAGCAATTATGTGAGAGGCACAAATTGATTGAGCAATCTTGATTAGTTCGCAGCTTCCTTTTCAAAGGGAAGCACGTGACTTCAGACGCATGGGCGGAGTCAGGTCGTCGAAATGTGGAAGTCGTACGGGTAATGCCGATCGGAAAGGAAGACATGGGGGAATCCTGACAATTAGAGGGAAAGACCCTCTCATCTCTTATATTGTTTCTCTGTCTCAGGTAAATACAGGTAGGCCTAATTGCATGGTTTCCTCCTCAGGATTGTCACAGGATTTGGCAGAAAAGGCCTGTTCAGGAAAGATAGCTCTGGGGCTAACCAAACTAATGAATTCTTGTATCTGGCTGAGATAGGAAAAAAAGGATAGTATCTGATAATCCTTCCATGAAAGTGGCCACTAGAACATTATTATTGAAATTTAGCTCAGCCACATATGTTTGTAATTCCATAGTGTAAACCTAAATTGGGCTTAAGGCAGAAGAGCTTTGGCTGCAGTGACAGAGTGTCCGGGAGGGTCAAAAACTTTGCAGAAGAAATCACCACAAAAATCAGGGAACTTATACCTCTAACTCATGGAATTGCTTACCGCAACCTCTCTAATTGAAGGGCTAACAGCCAATGCCTTTCTTATTCAGCCAGACAGGCAGAAAAGCTCACTGCAGATCCACAGCATCCAAACCTCAGAAGCCCAATTTCTGAGCACAGTTTGGCCTTTAGAGACCCTGTATTTCTCCCAGTCAACCAGGCATGACCTGGCAAGCGACACAAACAAAATCGGTCATAGATCACAGTGGCCACCAGCGGGTACGAGCCAAAAAGTCCCTGATATTGACACAATGCTATGGGACCTGGTGGCCCATAAAGTGGCTTACAAGATGGCGGCCATGCCTGATCCTGACTCAGGCACCACATGCTCAGATGTAAACTTTGAGGAACTCATGGATTCCCAAGCTCACAATATCACTTCTGATGCTATGACAAACACTGAGGCACAGTCACCAGCAACCAAGCAGGACATTTAGGACCTTCTGGTAATATTAAGCAGATGTTCCTAGCTGACATAGAACTTGTCAAAACAGAAGTTCAAGCAGTGACTGCACACATACAAGCATCTGAGGAAGACATATTAGAAATAAGATGTGAATTGACCGGCATGAAAGAAGACCTACGCCACGTACAATCATCGCATGCTAACATGCCACTTAGGCTTAACCTACTGGATTATTGCAACAGGTGGAATAACCTTAAGATTAGGGGTGTCCCTGACACTATTGATTCGGCTGAGCTACCACACTGCATTTCTTTGCCTCCTGCCTGTAAGAATATTAAATAGTTAACTTGTTTATATGTATTTTATGCTTTTATAAGGTTTATAACATGATTATTGCTGACTGAAGGGATATTGAATACTTAAAGTCAATATGCTGACTGTGACAGACTAAGGTATTTCTTCTATAGGATGTAAGACAATGCTAAATTTCAGGATGTCTTGCCCATTCCGATTTTAAGGATATTCTTTTCCAGACGTATGCAAAAGCTTATCTTTCCATTGTCAGAATAACGTAATACAAGGAAGTAATAAATCTTATAGTCTGTACTGTATTTGCATATACCATGGCTAATGTAAGCAAACTATGTATAAAAGCCAGCTCTGGAATACACTCATTTGAGAGTCTTGTAAAGCTGTTGTCCGTGTGTTATTGCTTACAAATGATTCTCCATCAACGTTGATTATGGTGACCGAGGGATCGAGAACCGAGGGGATTAGAGTCCATTACAACATTAACCCTTTCAGCTTGGTGTCTAGAAGTGGGATAGAAGTTGGATCAGCAAAACCATTGCGGTGAGTAGCCTTTTTGTGTCTTATTTGACGCTGATTGTCTATGACCCCCTTTGGTTCAGTAAGTCTGTATCCAGTAGATAGGAAAGGTGTAAGGACTCTAGTTATATTGAGACTATAAGAGGTCTCCGGTTTATTAGACATTTGGTCTAAATATATATAGGGGTTCTTGGTAACCCAGGTTAGTATCTAAGATAGATACAGGTTTTTGAGACCATAAGAGGTCTCCGGTTTATTATAGGGTTTTGGTAACCCAGGTTAGTATCTAAGATAGATACAGGGTATCTCAGGTAGATACAGGTTTTTGAGACCATAAGAGTCTCCGGTTTATTAAGTCTATAGGTGTTCTGAGCAGCACGGTTTGTAGATCTATAAGTATAACCCAAACTTCTCTTTCTCCCGGTCACCTTTGTTTGTCTTAAGTGTTTTTTGTGGGTGATTGTTTGTCTATATTGGGGACACACTTTGGTAAGTTAGTAGTGTCCCCACTCTGAGTCAGCAGTATGGGAAATGTGAGTTCAGGTCCTGAGTGACCAATATGTGTATGTATATATGTGTATATGTATGTATATATGTGTGTGTATATGTATATGTGTATATATAAGATAGCAGTACTTTTAAACAAATTGAGGTTTTAAAAATACATAGGGCTTAAGGAGAGAACGCAGGTAACTTGTTTTTCTTTGGTTTTTACCATATATTGGGGCTGATGTGTACTGTAGTCCTTGCTGCTGTCCAGTAGTGATGGGAGTGAGCGCAGGACTTATCTTTCTGCAAGATAGCAGTACTGTATATTAGAAAAGAAATGACTCACAGGTTGTACCTGATAGACCTACTTAAATCTTTTTACTTTATTCTTTCTGTCGCATAGAAGTATAAGTTTATTACTCTGTTTTATTGTAAGTTATTTCACATGGGATCTATGTGCCTGGTATGATTGTTGCTTTAAAAATACTATAAGCCCACTACACTTATTATGAGAGTGGGATAGTGTAAATGTGTTGCATTGTTTGCATGATGAGCTCAGTATATTTTATAACTGAGACAAAAAGTCACTTCATTAGTATTTGAAAGTTAATTCCCCATATGGGATTAATTGTATAGAAACACCAATCAGCACATCTTCCCTGCCCTGTGTGTTTGTTGCAAAGGATCCATACTGTAAATATAATTTTTGTTTGAAAATAACAGAGCAACATTTACATTTTCAGCGGTCCAACACATGCTTTATTTTGCACTGTAAACTAACCTTTTATTGCAACAGGTTCCTTTTAAATGATCCAGTGTAATAACTACTGCTTGTGTCTTCTATGTCTCACATTATGTGTTATTTTAATTGTGGTATATAGCCTGAATCAGACATCATGGACAAAGGTTTTTACCTGTGTTACTAAGGGCTCTTGGAGACTGACCGGTCTAAAGGTTTGCCATGCCTTTAAAACATGGTATAGTATAAATTTTTTAAGTGTCTGAGAGTTCTGAAAGATTCAGGTGAAACCATGTCTGTTTAATCTGGTCCAGATGTTTGTTCAATTTCTATAAGATTTAAATTGATGCAGCATCATCTCAGATTAGTTAATGGTAGTTTTATACAAATAGTTGAGTTATGAGCGCGCTATATAAATGGATCCTTTCTTTAAATATAATACTATAGTAGATTAAAGTAATGAAGTTAATTAAGAAAATGTATACATAAGAATCCCTAAAATAAATCTAAACTAAAATTGGTATACCTTCCAATAATATGTTCTGAATACAGCTGTTAACTGTTTATTTTGTGTAAATGGTGATTGTGATAATGTGTGATAAGTGTGCAGTTTAATTTGAAAGTGGTTTAATTTATATGTTGCTGTATTGTTTTAAATTATATGTGAATCAGTTTGTCACAGTCTAGTGATACTGATAAGAATGACAGCCAAATAACCTAGCAAATAACTGTTTTATTAGTTGTTGAATACTAGCGTTTTGGCCAAGAATAGTTGGAGATTTGGAGGTGTTAGTTTAAGATTGCTTTTATATTGTGTGTATCCGTGTTTCCTAGGAGGGAGACAGAGTGTGTAGTTGTGTGCCCATAAATGTGATTTCTGTATTGGCATATCTGCTGGGTACCCATTATGTGTTTCTACAAAGATATTGCTTTGTGAGATGACGTGTAATATTACATGGGATGCTGAGTATGAGTTATATGGTTTGAAATGAATTTTGAATGGATTAGTGAGGTGGTTGTTGTAATCCAACTGCTTAATTGCTTGCTCCTTCTTGCTTTACAAAATCCAGGATGCAGGATCTTTAATGAAAACCTTTATTCGGTATAGCAGCAATATTTTTTTTTTTTACGATCAGGTTAAAATTTTAGAAAAACAATTTTTAGAAAAGGGATATGATAAAAATATTCTAGAAAAAGCCTATAAACAGGTAAAAGAGGAAGACCGTTTAGAAATTTTGAAATATAAAGATAAGCAAGCTAAAAAAGAAGGACTAGAAACTATCCCATTAATTTTTAATTTTAATTCTAACAACCGCACTTTACGTAAAATTATTGATAAAAATTGGCATGTTTTAAAGTTAGATGATGAGTTACGCCCACTAATAGGAGAAAAAGCTAAATTAATTTTTAGAGGCGCTAGAAATTTTAAGCAAATTTTAACTAGCAGCTTCCAAGAGAAAGAAAAGAAAGAATGTTCCAATAACTTTTTAAAGGAACAGAAAGGATTCTTCTATTGTGGAAATTGTAGAGGGTGTAAAGTAAGAGCTGGGAAAAATAGAAGAATTTTTAAATTCATTTCTTTTAATACTAAAACAGAATATGAAATTAAACACTTTATCACATGCAATACTGCTGATGTTGTTTATATGATAACATGTCCCTGCGGGTTACAATATGTAGGGAAAACGTCTCGTTCATTAAAAATACGAATTAGGGAGCATATATACAACATCAGGAGAAGATTCCCTAACCATTGTTTATCTAAACATTTTTTGGAATATCATGATGGAGACCCAGCAGGCCTGGATTTTTTTGCAATAGATCATATTAAAATACACTGGAGAGGGGGTGATAAGGATAATCTTTTAAGCAAAAATGAGATGAAATGGATTTTTAATTTGGATACACTTACACCGGGGGGATTAAACGTAGATTTTGAAATTAATACTTATATTTAACTATAATTATTTATTAAATCTATTGGAGATTATTTTAGGTTGTTTTATATTAATAAGATATTTTTTAATTCTAATTTTAGTAATACTGATTAATATTTTATAAATATTGATTATAATAAGTGTATTTTAAGTATGATGCATTCTCCCGATATACCTTTAAATGTGAATAAGAAGATTTTTCTATTTTGATCTTTTATTTCCCTTTTAAATTTATTCCCTCTTCTTTTGCCTCTCTTTTACCTTTTTTAATCCTTTTTTTGAGAAAGAGAGAGTTTAACTGTTGCTAATATTCTACGTATTGCAATAAGAATATCTGACTATAATATTTGTTTTAATGTTATTGACAATATGTATGAAGTATGTTGCCAATAGGACTCTGATTATTGCAACATGAAAGACTGTTTAAGTGAATGGACTAGTTCGCTGTTCCTTTTCTTCAATGAACATGGAAGTAAATTGAGATCGTTAAGGATGCTAGGATGCCCAATAAAGTTGCAACAAAAAAAAGAAAGGGGGAGGAGCTTATTTCCGAAAAAAGGCGCGAAAATTTGCCTATTTAAAAATGGAACTGACTGAATGGACTCACACTTTGATAAAGGCTTTGGCTGAAACGCGTTAGTGTGCAGAGGTGGAATTGCTGAATTTTAATTTTTACTGCTGCTGTCTTTTTTTGCTGCTATACCGAATAAAGGTTTTCATTAAAGATCCTGCATCCTGGATTTTGTAAAGCAAGAAGGAGCAAGCAATTAAGCAGTTGGATTACAACAACCACCTCACTAATCCATTCAATGTTCCTAGTCTGAGCCAGCTTCCATATTAAGTGGCTCATGAATATGTGAGTTTATTCAAGTATTTACTCATTCATATATTCTTTGTACGTTATTACCCTATGCCTGTTTTTCCCATTGTGTTTTTACAGGTTTTATATTGAATATAAGGGTAATTATTGTTTCTCTGTGCTCTCACCATTTTTTACTGTTTTAACCATTTATTTATGTGAGGTGGAGTGACCCACATTGCTGGTGATTGTAGCACTTTGTCTTATATTGTTTTTTTCACCATATATACACTTATTTTTTTGAAATGAATTGGTGATTATGAGCTTAGTACTTCAGTAAGATGTGCTAAAATTTGGAACAAGGTGGAAGCTGAAATGTTGGGATTATGGAAGAATAGGTAGTCTATATTCACTGCTTTGGCATATAAGCAAGATGCAAAGGAAGAGATTGGTAATATGATTTTTGTAAAGAAATTTTACAAGTGTTGGAAGGATGAGGCAGGTTTGATGTCTGGAGATGATATAGATCTCTTTAAAATACAGTCATGCCTTGGTAATATGTTGCCACAGTATTATTTGCTTGTGAAACAATTGATTTCAGACTGGGCCAATTTGGATAGCTCAGATTTTCTTACCAAGGTTATAGAAAAGGAAAATGCAGGTTGTTTTGAATTAAGAAAAGATTTAGGAAAGTAAGGTTGCTTATTATGCTCAGGGATTGCAACATATTATGTCCAGCTACACAGGCTGAGAGCGAGGATGGGATGGAGCACATAAAGCCCGCGGAAGGGGTGGTCAAAGAGGAGCAAGGGGATGGAGACAGGGAAATCAGGGTTATAAGGGCAGGGGTAACCAAGGAGGAATAGACAGGAACACTTGTTTCAACTGTGGCCAATATGGCCACTGGAGGAATGAGTGTCCACACCCCAGGAAACCCCAGGAAACCCCACACACCCCAACAACCCCACAATTCTCAAAATATGCCCGGTAGGCAAGAACAACACCAGACCCACTCCCAACACCACTGGCCAGCATATCGCTTAGTTCAGGACTTTAGAGCCCTGAATAGTTTAATTGTGCCCATTTCACCCATTGTCCCTGATGTGACATCCCTCATTACAGCCATTCCACATGATGCCACTTGCTTCACTGTCATTGATTTAAGTAATGCATTTTTTCTATACCTATTGATCAAGAGACACAGCTACTTATGGTTTTTATTTTTTGAAGGCTGCCAGTTTACCTGGACACGCTTACCCAAGGCTATGTGGATTCCCCAGCTGTTTATTCGTTGGTACTCCAACATACTCTAAAAAAACATGGACCACCGGTCATGGTTCCGTCCTTTTTGCAAAATGTTGATGATTTGTTGTTATGTAGCCCTAGCTATGAGGCAAGCACTGTGGATACTGTCAGCAACTGTAGGTCACAAGGTTGTTAAACACAAAATGCAATTGTGTAAATCAAAGGTTGAATACTTAGGTTTTGTTCTGGCTTCAGGCACCAGACAATTGAGTCCAAAACGTATTGAGGTCATTCAGAGGATTCCTACACCCACTACTCGGAAGGAGTTGCTCACCTTCCTCGGCATGATTAATTACTGCCACCATGGATCCCTGAATGCTCCCATTATGACTCAATCCTAAGGGAGGCTGTACGTTCTGACAGCCCTGAAAATGTCTGCTGGTCACCAGACATGCTAGCTGCATATATTGCCCTTACAGTTGTTATTGTGCAAGCCCAGGCTTTAGGACTACCTGTGTATTGTAAACCATTTCATTTGTATGCTTGGGACAATTGTAAAACCATGGCCGCAGTCTGTGCACAAGAGCAAGGAGGCGGTATGCGTCCCATAGCATTCTTTTCCAAAGTAGTTCGAGCTCCGGTACAGGGTATGCCGGCGTGTCTCAGAGCATTGATAGCATGTGCAATGGCTGTTGAAACTGCTACTACTATCACACTAGGGCATCCTACAATACTTCATGCCAGTCACCAGGTCACTCAGCTGATGACAAATCTCACCACACAACACATGACAGCCCAGCGCTTCAGTGGTTATGAGATTCTTTTTTTAATACCCAGAATCTGTCTTTTGGATTAAACAAGGTTTAGAGAAAGATCAGAATGATCTGTTCTCTAAAGAGGGGAGAATAGGCATACTTGAAGAATAGGCATACTTGAAGCAAGCTGCTTTATTTTCATCAGTCAGGCACATAGCAAGCACCATTCAATTCTTCATGAATTCATTTTATATTAGGAATCTCAGGCAGCATGTACAGTCTTTTGTAAGATCGTGTGAACGCTGCTCTTTTTACACACTTACAGATTGATTTTATTCATGTATCCAAAATTAGTAAGAAACAGCAATACTTACTGGTCATAGTTAATCAGTTTAGTGGATGGCATGATGCCTTTGTGACATCTAGGGAGGATGCTAGTGAAGATTATTGTTACTGAAATTATTCCCCGGTATTGCTGCCCTCTGCAGATTGGCTCTGATAATGGCCCGGTTTTTGCAAGTGGGGTTGCCCAGGAACTTGCTAAATTCTTGCAAGTTACCTGGCAGTTTCATATACCCTATCATCCACAGAATACAGGGGTAGTTGAAAGGATGAATAGGACTATTAAGGAAAAGCCCAGAATTTACCCAGGAACATGGGTAAATTGGACTAGATATCTACCAGCTATTTTAGCTGAGATAAGAATGAATCCCCACAAGGTGACTAAATTATCTCCATTTGAGATTTTGATGGGATGACCTTTTCCCACACCCTGGGCCAGGGAACCGCTTGTTATAATGTCTGGGGATTTACAGCTTATACAAGAACAATATGTACAGGAATTGTTGATAAAACCGAATGGTATGTATGACAATGTTTCTTCGCAGTTTTCCCTTACCTTCACAGGAACCTACTCATTCATACCAGCCCGGTGACAAGGTGTATATCCGTCAGTTGAACAGGACCAAGAAAGGAGGATACCCTTTTGGACCACCTGCTACTGTGATTGCTGTACCCAGAACCGCTGTCCACAGATTCCCATGACATCTGGATTCACGCATCCCGAGTGAAGCTGTGTCCAAAGAGGGGAACCAAGGAAGACAACACCACTCCTCGCTCGGAAACAGAAGAATTTCTCCTCAGCGAAGCATCATGGCTTTTACACATATCGTAGATTGAGAGGATCATACGTACCTGAGACCAAGATTATGTTGTGTGCTATGCTTTCTGGAGTTGTTATACTCCCTCTGATATTGTTCCTTGAATGCCATTATGAGTACAAGTCAATGGCAAGTTCTGGAAAAAGACTCTGACATGATGAACAATTCTTCAATACCCCCAGCCCAATTAGGCCTTAGCCCCTCATCTAGCATTCGTCACACACGCCCCCTCAAGAACCTTTCTCCACCACCTTTCTATCAGCATGTAATATGCAATCATTCATTCACTGAACGCATTTGGATGAATTGGACAAATAGTAACCCTTATAAGTACCAGTTACCCATATGAAATGTGTCTACAGCTAATGAAACCGATGCATTATGTTTGTTTAAAGGTTCACAGAAAATTGTTAGATCTTATAACGCAGAAATGTGCACAGTTAAGGTTGCATATCAATGTAAATAGACAGGCCTTATTACTTTTAATAATGATTATACAACTGGTATCATTAATTGGAAAAGGGGACAAATGTTAGTCATTATGAACGACACTACCTTATATTTTTACACCTTATTACTGTCCTTTATCCTCTACCATAGAACCAAAAGTCAACAACGACACACACACACCTATTCCGTCCACATGTATTAATACAACTGCCTTCTTACAAGCTGTACATGTGTCATTAAAAGTCACTACTCTTGTTGTAACATTATGTAATACAACAAACAAAGGCAGAAAAGGGAATGGTATGACACACTGTTAGATGGTGCTGGAACCACTATGGGTATACTAAATAGTTATAGATATGGAGACCCTCAAGAATAAGTTAAACACAGCCAGCATGCATATAGGGACTGGTTTTCATGCTACTGCAAATTGGGCTCCAATTGTTGTTAAATCACAGGTTATAGGATTGGATTTAGATAAATCAATGTATAATTATTTAGATAATTTAACTGTTGCAACTATGAAATTCACTACAGGTTTAAGTAACTGGAGTATTTGTGCCATCAGGTATTTATGGATACAACAAGGATTGGCATTAGAAAACACACTAATGATTCCTAAACTAGAGAAGATTAGAGGAATGTGTAACCTCACAGATAATGATTGGTTACTTCTAAAACCCCAATCCAGTAAATGCAATGGATGGTTAACTGGTAATGTTTCACATTTTTCATGCTCATGCTATTTAACATTATATCATACATTATCAAAGGATGTTAAATTAGCTTGTCAATTTAACACATTACCAGTACCAGTTTATGATCTTTTTGCCAAGAATTTAACCTGGTGGGCACCCACATACACAGGGGACTATATTTTTCCCAAAGATAACATACACAGGTAGCCACACATATCCTAAAAGGAGAACTCCTTAAGGTGAGTTCACAAATTCAGAATGATTTAGCCCATCATTGGTACGATGCTTCACTGGTTGGTCCCCTACTGGATCTCAGATAATGAAATCATTCTTCTATCATTTTGTTATTATAGTCCTGATTTTATTGTGTATGATTTTATATAACTGTCACCTTAGTTGTACATTGAGGAAGTGAGTACAGAAATTAATCCATAATGCAGAACAGAAACAATTAGAAATTCTCCTCTCTGCCACTGTAGAGTATCAACCCATTTTTAAACTGGGCCTTAGGAATTACCACATGGGAATCGAGGTGAAGAAATTAATGAAAGTCCCGCAGGGAGTGACTAGCACCCCTGAAAATACCATGTGGAAGTTTCTCTGTCCTGGTAAGATTTTATCGATAAGATGAGCAATTGTTTTATTGCTCAAAGAGGGGAATGTAAGAATATTAAATAGTTAACTTGTTTATATGTATTTTATGCTTTTATAAGGTTTATAACATGATTATTGCTGACTGAAGGGATATTGAATACTTAAAGTCAATATGCTGACTGTGACAGACTAAGGTATTTCTTCTATAGGATGTAAGACAATGCTAAATTTCAGGATGTCTTGCCCATTCCGATTTTAAGGATATTCTTTTCCAGACGTATGCAAAAGCTTATCTTTCCATTGTCAGAATAACGTAATACAAGGAAGTAATAAATCTTATAGTCTGTACTGTATTTGCATATACCATGGCTAATGTAAGCAAACTATGTATAAAAGCCAGCTCTGGAATACACTCATTTGAGAGTCTTGTAAAGCTGTTGTCCGTGTGTTATTGCTTACAAATGATTCTCCATCAACGTTGATTATGGTGACCGAGGGATCGAGAACCGAGGGGATTAGAGTCCATTACAACATTAACCCTTTCACTGCCAAAAAGGTCAAGATTTAGGATCCCTAAATCCTAAAGAACCCCCTCCTCCGTGATTATGAGGTGCCAATCGCTCAATGATAAAAACCACATCCTCACAGCTTCGAATCTCACCTTCTTCCATGATCTGTCCAGAAACAAACTGCAATGGAGAAGGATTATGAGCCGTACCAACTGTGGAACGCGGGTATAGCCTACAGCTCAACGTCTTAGGTACTCCAATGGTGTGGTAGTGCAGATAAAATGGAAAACAAGAAACTCCAATAGTGTAATAGTTCCAACTCCAAGTATAAATGGATAAATAAAAATATATATACTCACATTTACTAGAGCAGAAAACTTGCTCTAGTGTATAGGGCTTGCAGTGGTATAATCCCCACTGTAGGATATACAGGTCAGGAAGTTAGATGGTGCAAATAAAATATAATGAAATGGAATATAGCTTTAAAAGATATATATTTAATAGTGTAGCAAATAGAATAAAATAAAAGCTATATAAAATATCACTTAACGCGTTTCGCCAATGGCTTCATCAGAAGTGTAAAAAACATACATCAAAAAACTTCCTTTAAATATATAACTTACATAATGAACATGATTAATGATGTCTTCCTGGTGTGCCTCGGACAAACAGACCGCTCGTAGGCAGAAACCGGAAATAATGCGGCGACCACGTGGGTGTAAGTAACCAGCGTGGAACGCACGCGTCCAAACCGGAAGCGGCGCGGCGTTCGCGTGTGTAGCCCTATCCACCGCGAAACGCACGCGTCGCGCCGGAAGTGGCGCGGCGCTCACGTGGTTGAGATGCAGGCATGCGTTCCACCATGGAACGCATAGTGGCCGCGGCCGCAATAGGTGGCTCAAAAAGAGGCAAATACAAAGATAATGTTAAAATGCAACATATGTGCAGATGACAAAAAAGACAATCTTACAAATAAAAAAACAAATACATAAATATTGTTAAAGTGCAACATATGTGCAAATAACAAAAAAAAAAAAAAGAAAGCCAGTCTTCACATAAATAAAAAAACAGATACATACATAATGTTAAAGTGCAACATATGTGCAAATAACAAAAAAAGCCAATTTTCACATAGATAAAAAAACAAACGGAAAAAATATTTATACCAAACCAATCGGGCATCATGTATTATACAAAGGGAACGCATGCCTGCATCTCAACCACGTGAGCGCCGCGCCACTTCCGGCGCGACGCGTGCGTGTCGCGGTGGATAGGGCTACACACGCGAATGCCGCGCCGCTTCCGGTTTGGACGCGTGCGTTCCACGCTGGTTACTTACACCCACGTGGTCGCCACATTATTTCCGGTTTCTGCCTACGAGCTGTCTGTTTGTCCGAGGCACACCAGGAAGACATCATTAATCATGTTCATTATGTTAGTTATATATTTAAAGGAAGTTTTTTGATGTATGTTTTTTACACTTCTGATGAAGCCATTGGCGAAACGCGTTAAGTGATATTTTATATAGCTTTTATTTTATTCTATTTGCTACACTATTAAATATATATCTTTTAAAGCTATATTCCATTTCATTATATTTTATTTGCACCATCTAACTTCCTGACCTGTATATCCTACAGTGGGGATTATACCACTGCAAGCCCTATACACTAGAGCAAGTTTTCTGCTCTAGTAAATGTGAGTATATATATTTTTATTTATCCATTTATACTTGGAGTTGGAACTATTACACTATTGGAGTTTCTTGTTTTCCATTTTATCTGCACTACCACACCATTGGAGTACCTAAGACGTTGGACTTCTTATCCTAAGACGGGGATTGTACCGTCCATGCCAATTATGGTAGAGCTCCCACAGTAGCTCTACCAAATGTGAGTGAAAAATACCTCCGTTTTATTTATCACTTTTTCCTAATATTGTTTAACATACTACACTATTGTATATACTCTTTCTGTTTTCTTTTTGAGGATAAATTATCCGCAACTACTAAGAGACATCAAGTGTATGTATATATAATTTATGTAAGGCGCGGTTTCCTCCTTTTTTTCTGTAAGGCTGGGAATCCTTGTATTTGTTACTGCTGCCTATCTTATTGTTTATCGTTGGAGTGAGCACCTGACACATCTCTTCTTTTCATAGCCTACAGCTGGTTGACATCATACTCAAGAACAACTCCACTCTGTGCCTGTCTTCCGTGATGGAAGCTACCCCTTTCATTCAAGCTTTGGGACTCTCGCAAACCATCCCACATCTAGCATCTTCAATCACTCAGCATGTTTGGAACCTCAAACATACGACGCCCCTTATCCCTTGACGCGATCGAGCAATGGATGTAGTGACCTGAGCCTCTATGCATCTCCAAGCACATTAATGTTTCTATGTTATTTTATTGCTATTATTTTGCTCAGTTTGTTTACCATACTTAAATACTTGTTATTGAATCTGCAGGATCAAAGAAAAAATCTAAACAACAACTATTCAAATATGACAATTGCACATAGAAGTAAATTAAAAGGTGGGTTAAAGGGACACAATAGGCATTCAGACCACTTCATCTCATTGAAATGGTATGGGTGCAGTGTCCCTTTCTTATTGACAGCCTCGA